TTAGAAGGAAAAGGGCATTCTGGAGAGTAAGTTCTATGAACACAAGTTGACAGCAGGAGAAGCATGAGTTTGGAGGAGACTGCTGGGAGTGTCACTGTTTTGGAGAACTGAGAAATTGGGGTAGGTAGTTCAAGATAAGAGCTTGAAATCACAGTATGTAAAAATGTGAACTTACTGATGTTTTTGAATAAAAGGGAACAGTATTTTAATGATTTCTATGACAGAAAGAAGCATCCTCATGGTTTAGTTGGTTTCAGGCAGTACAGAAATGCTTATCTCTGAAATTCTCAAATCTTTGTTTATTTTATCTATGAGGGTGCAAAATTGTCATCATTTGAGTTTGGGAGTATTTCTGATATATTAGATCTATTTGCCAAGATAGTAGTGTAGGAAAATCTAAAAGTTGGTTTGTGTTTTTTCAGTGAAACAGTATTAGAGATTTATGTTCTTGTTCAAAGGATTAATTTCCAAGAGGTTTTCAACAGAAATGATCACAAACACTCTGCTTTATCTTTTCAACTGACATGAAACATAATAAAGGAGGACTATACCCAATTGTGTAAAGTTAAATTTAATGTTATGGTACTTTAGTGCATAGCTCTTAGATTTTTGTTGCCGTTTTGGTAATTTAAAAAAATAATACAGTAAAACAAAAGGTAGACATGATCTTTATTGGGTTGATAAAATCCCTAGTGTTTGTTAATTTGGCTTTTTCTTATGGTAAATGCCATTGCAGCAAGGTTATTTATTAGAAAGTAAGATTGGTTTATAAAAAGAAAAATTTTCCTTTTACTGTTTTTTGCAACTTCCATCTTATAGGGATCATTAGCTGATTTATTTTAAACCCTGGTCATAATTTGGTTGCTTCTGAAGATAGAACCTGTTTTGCTTTTAGAACACCATTCTCTCAATTTTTCTTCTCTCATTGGTGTCTCCTGTTTTGCCCGTTTTGTAGGATCTTTTTCCTGCTCTTATTTCCAAATATTGGCATGCCTTTCCTCCATCCTAGATGATCTCATGCAGTCTTGAGGTTTTAAATAACCATCTGTGTGTTGACTCTAAAATTATATATAGCTTCAGTTTCTTCCCTGTAGTACAGACTTGGTTTCTAACTATGGGCTCCGTATTTTCACTTCAGTTCATAATAGGCATCTATTACATGTTATATGCAGAACAAAGCTCTTTGTTTCTTTCTCTACTCCCTTATCCATCTCCTTCCCTGGTCTTCCATTTCAGTAAACAGTGCCACCGTTTATATAGTTGTTCAGGCCATAAACCTCTATAAAGAATTTATGATTCATTTTTTCCCCTTTCTCTTCATTTAAGTACATCCCTTAAAATTCTATGACCCTTGCCTACTGCTACTTCTATCTCAGTGACTGTCATCTCTTGACAGTGTTTCAGGTTGGGTCCTCTTGAAAGCAGACATTGGAACAGAGTTTATTATGCAGCACATTAATTAAGAGGTACCCTTGGGGTGAACATCTATGAAAGAGCAGGGTGAGGAGGTAGGATAGCTCATATGGAGAAATAGAGCTAATACACTGGCCAAGTGATATTGTTGGTGACTGTTAGTGGGGTGTTCTGGAACTAAAATGACCTGTCTGTATTGACCAAAGAGATGAGGAGGCTTTTTTATTCCTTTCTCAGTTAGTCATTGGACTCATGTCATATTGAGAAAGGTATGATACTGGGTGCAGTGATCCTCTAGCTGAGGGGATCCCCCAAAATACTATCAGGTGAAAGCACTACTGCCGGTTCAAATAAGTCCCTTTCTGAAGGGAGAGCAGGGGGCACAGCACTGTGTGCAGTAGACCATCACTAGATTCCACATTGTATTCATTTTATTAACAGTTCTACCAGTATTCCAGTTGAGTCTAACTGTGGAGGAAAATTAATTATAAGAATACTACTGTAATGAACTGTGAGGTAGCGGGTCTTTCTCAGGTATCTTTCCTCTGTTATCCATTCACATCTTTTAGCTAGCACCTCTGCTGTTCTTACTGTCTAAACTGGTCAACATAGCCTTTTAGGCCATTGTTGGAACACTTGTCACTACTTTCAGAATTGACAGGGGGAATTGATCCTCCCTAGAGAATCACTTGTGATAAAAAATTTACTGTCTCCACCTTTGTTTTAAGAGCACCCCTTACCACCTCTTGAAGCTTGGAGTTGATAGTCCTTGCCAAATGTGGTCACTTTTCTTGCCTTTTATTCTCTGAATATAAGCAGCTGGGGTTACCAAACCCCATTGGTAGTTAGAGTTTAATGCAATTCCTGTTACTTAGGTAAAGTATTCCCCTTTGGTTGACCAAGATCTCTTTCACTGTAGATCTGAGATTTGCAGGGTATAGGTAGCATGCACAAATTAGGAGTTATATTCAACAGGGATAAGCAGGGGTTTTGTGTTTATTTCTTGTTCCTGATATCATGTTTTATCCTACTGAGAAAACATTACAGGTGGGGTTTTTTGTTGTTGTTGTTGTTGGTTGTTTACTTTTTTTTAGACAGAGTCTCACTTTGTAGGCCTGGCTAACCTTAAATTCACAGAGATCTGCCTGCCTCTGCCTTCTCAGTGCTGGGGATTGAAAGCATGTGCTACCATGCCTACCTTAAATTCGAGGTTTTTAATTCCAACTGTGTACTGCATCTTAGAGGATAAAGCTCCATCTTTGTATATAGGGTACCACTGCTGAACTGGTGCTTAGTTATGCCCTTTATAGGTCTAGTTGGTTTATTATGATCATTTTAAGTCCTGTTTCCTTATTTATCTTCCGTATTTTCTGTCCATGAGAGTGGGGTATTGAAGTCCTTATAATTCTAGAGCTGTCTTTCCATTAGTTCTGTCTGTGTTGCCCATATATTTATATGGCCTCTCGCTAGACACATTCATAATTACTATATCTTGTTAATACTGAAATTTTATTACTATATAGTATTCTTTGTTTCTTGTAACCTGTTTTTTATTGTTTATTTTATTTTGAGGCCTCTTTTGATTGATACTATATTCACATAGAATGTCATTTCCCATCCTTTCACTTAGAATCTCTTTTGCATCTTTTGATCAAAAGTGAGTCTTTTTTAAACAGCATGTAGTTGAATCACGATTTTGATATATTTTACCAGTCTCTGAAAAGTTTAACATATTTACATTTAAAGTAGTTACTAATAAGGAAGGACTTCTATAATTTGCTCTATGCTTTCTTTATACTTACACCCTTTTGTTCTTCATTTCTTGCTTGTCTTCTGTGTTTCGTTAATATTTTGTTATAAAACATTTAAACATTTAAATTCTTTTCTCATTTATTTTTGTGTATATTCTGTAGAATATTTGTTGTGGTTGCCATGATGATATTCTGATTTGAATTTTTATCAGCTTAACTTCAGTAAGTTATAAACTCTGTTCTTACCGCTTGCATGTTTATATCACAAAATTAAGTCTTTATACGTTGTATGCCCCAAACATAAACTGATAACTTTTATGATTATGTATAACAAAAAATGTGAGGTTAGGACCAGGGTTATTAGTGTTTAGGCTAACTACCTGTTTATTTATCTTTATTAAGAATTTTTTTTTTTTTTATCTTTTTGAGAAAGGATTTCCTTGTAGCCCCAGCTGTCCTGGAACTCACTATGTAGACCAGGCTGGCCTCCAACTCACAAAGATCCGCCTGCCTCTGCCTCCCAAGTGCTGGGATTAAAGGAGTGCGCCACCACGCCCGGCTATCTTTATTAAGATTTGTATTTCATTATATGTCGTGTCTGTTTCACTTCAGCATTTTTGTAAGGCAGGTCTAGTGGTAACAAACTACAAAGTTTTTTTTTGTTTTTTTGTTGGTTTTTTTTAATCTAGGCACATCTTAATTTCTCCCTCACTTTTGAAGGATGATGTTGCTGGGCATAGGATTCTTGGATGACAGTAATTTTTCTTTTAGCACTTTGAATTTATTAGGCATCCAATGTGATGAATAAAATCTGCTAATAACTTTAGAGGACTTTAGAGGATCTGGAGTATATGACAGATCAATTCTTTCATGTGTTTTTTTCTTATCTCATTTTATTGAATGTTACATGATTTTAATGGAACATAGTTTTTTGTGTAAGTTTACAGCACTTTGTATCAAGTATGGTTTTGAATATTTATGTAGATAAATTTTCAATATTATACATAATATAATCTCTCAAATTTTTATGTTTGTATATGCATTTCCTTGAATTTTGTTTTTAATTCCTTTTTAAAAAGTTTTTTTAGGACAGGGACTTGCTATGTAGCCAAGACTGGCATTGAACTTGCCTCAGCCTCCAAGTGGTGGGAAAATAAAGAGATGGGATTAAAGCTCTAAGCATTTGTATAATACTATTGATGTGACTGAAAAGTTGCCAACTGTCTTCCTAAAAAGCTTATATCTGATAACATTTCTAATAGTGAAAGCACAAATTTCAGCTTACTTTTTTCTCCATATTGCATGCTGTAATTAAAAAAAAAAGTCTGCAGCTGGGTGTGGTGGTGCATGCCTTTAATCCCAGCACTTGTGAGGCAGAGGCCAATCTCTGTGAGTTTGAGGCCAGCCTGGTCTCTATAGCGAGTTCCAGGCCAGCTGAGGCTGCAGGGAGACCCTGTCTCAAAAAAAAGAAAAAAAAAAAAAATCTCCTTCTGGGGGTTTAAAACAATGATAACTTGACCATTTGATTACTAGTAAAACTATATATTTCACATGGTTTTAGGGCCATCTGTATTTCTCTGAATTGCCCATTTGTGTCCTTTTCTCAATTTCTGTTTAGTTGTTCCAACTGTTCAATAATGCTGTTCTAATATTTTAATATCTTAATTTTCATTAAATAATTTGCTTTATTGATTGAAGATTTAAAATAATCTTTTAAATAATAATAGACATTTAAATAATAATTTCAAGTTTTCATGTAAGACCTGTTTTATATTTGTAAGTAGTGTTATTGTCTCCTATTAAACTTTGTTAAAGCATACTTATTTTGTGACCTAGGAGCCTTTTGTGGCAGATGAATATATTGAACGTCTTGTATGGAGAACCCCAGGAGGAGGTTCTAGAGGTGGACCTGAAGCTTTTGATCCTAAAAGGTGAACTAAAATTTTTTTTCCCCACAGTCCCAGTCTAGTTCCACAAATTTGTGCTTTAAATAGAGGTGTCTGTCTTGGACTCTTCATTATATAAAGGGATTTTAATTAATAGTTGGTCCAAAACAAAATCATAATTTCAAACAATTTTAGAAGTCTGAAATTGTATTTTTCTTTTTTATCTTAGAGAAGTGCTTTAACTGGTTTGAGGGAAGGGATTCTATTGGCAATAAGAATTTAATATTTTCTTCAATTAGCATTACATTAGAAAAAGCTATTTATACTTCAGAAACTAAAACATGGCTGGGAGTGGTAGTACACACCTATCATCTCAACACTCTGGAGGCTGAGGCAGGATTGTGAGTTTGAGGTTGGCCTGGAGTACATAGCAAGGCCCTCTTATCAAATAAATAAATATCAAAAAGGTTTAATTTATTCTTTTAAATTTAGTAGCTATGATTCAAGGAAACAAAAGTCATTGAATTTTAGGATGCATAATATTTTTTTATTGTACATTTATCTTCTCGACTGGTTAGTTTTAGATATATAATATATTGTATTTACAATATTATATACAATTGCATACAAAACTATTTAAATATAGTTTTAAATAAACTATAAAAAAAAAAACTATAAAATTTATTCTTATTTGGAGATATAATGGGGATTCTAAGCAAGGTTTTTATTTGCCTTAGAGATAATCCATTGGAAAGTCAATAAAGACTGGCTGTAGTTTCAAACACCATGTGTTTTTGAATCCATGTGGCCTGAAGAAAGTGAAAGGAAATTGTGACACTGCAGAAAGGTTTTGTTTTCATTGAAGAAATTTCAACAAGATACTGTAAAGAAAATTAACATGCTCATCCCTGACTCTTAAGACCTTTCTAAGTAAACTGGTCAGTTCCTTTTGAGTAATAATAGGTAAGTTGATTTGTATTATAACTTTCCTTTATTAGATTATTAGAAGAATTTGTAAATCATATTCAAGAACTCCAGATAATGGATGAAAGGATTCAAAGGAAAGTGGAGAAATTAGAGCAACAGTGCCAGAAAGAAGCTAAAGAATTTGCAAAGAAAGTTCAAGAGCTCCAGAAAAGCAATCAGGTAAACATTTAGCTAAGGAGTCAATAGTGTATGTCGACTATAAATATCTTTATTTTTATTTCTTTTTTTCAGGCTTCAATATCTTCATTCTCTTTCAGTTGTAGGCTTTTTAAAGTGTCAAGTCAAATTGTAGAAACTCACAGTTTCTGACTAACTCTGTGGTCCCGTTAGATAAACATCAATGTACTGCTTTCATGTACCTTTGGTGTTGGCTTGCTACAGTGGTCATTTTGGAATTACAGTGTTCCCTTTTCAAATTAGAGTGATAGGTACTTAAGTGCTATCCTTGTTTTCACCTCTGATAAACTTTGAAGAGTGACTAGTCATTAGACCTGTAGTTTTAGGAACTCTTTATTAGAATTTAAGTTGTCATTTCATTCTCTGTAATCATAATACCAGATCTAGATCATTTTCCCCTAGAGAAACCTGATTTGAGTAGTTTCAAAAAAGTCATGAGGATATGCTTCAGTGAGAATTCTACTATAACTGTGGATAACCCTGTCTTCCAGCTATTTTTCAGTGAAACAGAACCACTAGTCTGGCCTATAGTGCAAAGAATGCCAGACTTTAGTTCCTCTTAGGTTTTGAAATTAATCTGGAATCCTTGAATCTCTTTTACAGGCTGGGCTTAGTCTAAAATTTGTCTAAGCATCATTTCAAAAACATTTTTGAGCTTTTTGCCTCCCAGGGACTGTTTGTTCTTCAGTGTTGGAATTAGCAAGCTAATTTCTACTAAAACTGTAACTTAAACAAATTCAGAGCTAGTCTGCTTGAGTTTGAGCGTAGATCTGCCCTTTACTAGCTGTATAATTTCAAACAATTTAACATCTTTGAATTTCATGTATTTGTCTGTAAAATGGGTTAAGAGAATAAAATAGGTAAATATATTAATAATGTATAATAGATATGTGATATATTTAGAATATAAGATGCAAAGCAAGTCCTCAATAAATGTTGGCAGCTTTTTTCCCCTTCAAATTAAGATTAGAACAAAAAGAGAGAGGGAGGGGGACTCTGCAGGCTCAGCATCTCCGCCCTGGCCCTCATATTTGAAAAAAAAAAAGATTAGAACAAAAGTATTATTGAATTACCAATAATTATCAACCCTTCTGCTATTGATAATTCTAAGGAATTCATTACATACAAATTTTATTAACTACAGGACAGTTGGTAGGACAAGGGGAAGAAAATTCTGGGAACTAATATGCTTTCGCTTTGGTAGAATAATTCCTGTAATCTTTTCTGTTTTTAGAACTTGAAAAAAGCAGTTTTACCATGTTTTCTTTGAGGGGTGGGTATTAAGACAGAGATTTGCTGTGTAGCCCAAGCAAACCTGTAGTCCTTCTCCTAGTTCAGCTTTCTAAGTGCTGAATTTTTTATTGAATTTCTTTGTATTTCATACAGAAAGTCATCTTTATATTCCCTTCCCCTTTGGCACCTGCCCATAGCCCTGCCCCCTGGAATTCATACCATCTGTCATTGTGTTAAGGCCTATCATGTAAACTTAGCGTCCCAAAATGTCCTTCAATGCAAGTTCATCCTCTGGGATCTAGTCAGCCTATCTAGAGTCCCTCCCTTTAAGAAGATCAGCTTTTCCTCACCCAGCAGTAATCAGCTGCCAATAATTCTTTGACTAAGATTAGGGCTTCATTTCCACAGTTCTTTGCTGGCTTTTTGTTTGTTTATCTTTGCATGGGTCTTGTACATGCTGACACCAGTGCTGTAGGTTTGTATGAGAAGGATCCCAGGCACCTGTAGGACTGTTTCCGGTATGGTCGTGTATTAGTCAGGGTTCTCTAAAGAAACAGAACCAGTAGAATGAATATATATGTATGTATAGAGATCTATCAGCTTAGCTCACAGGATAGAGTCCGAGTAGTCCAACAATGGCTGCACCACACTGGAGAGGCTGAGAATCCGTAGTCGCTCAGTCCACAAGGCTGGATGTCTCAGTAGTCCCAATCTAGCGCTGAAGGTCTGACAAATTCCAAAAGATCAGCTAGTCTTCAGTCTTCAGTAGCAAGATGAAGTCACCAGAGAGAGAGAAGGCAAGCAGCAAGAAGCCAGGCGTTCACATCTGCCTTGGCCTTTTATACCGGCTGCCATCAGAAGGTAACACCCACATTTAGGGTGTGTCTTCTGGCTTTAGATGATCCAATCAAGACGATCTCTTTCATTTCAGTTAATCCCAGATCCAATCAAGTTGACACCCAGGATTAGCCATCACAGGTCGTGTACCTCCTCCCTGGCTCTCACAGTCTTTCTGCCCACTCTTCTGAGCCTTAAGTGGGTGGATTTTAACATAGGAGTCCTGTCCTAGGACCCACACTCTACAGACTCTTATTCTCTGTGTTTTGGCCATTTGTGACCTTTTGCATTCCTGGCCCTCAGTTGTATGAGGGAGCTTCATTGATGAGAGTTGAAAGATGCATTAATATGTTCTCTTCATCCTTGAGCCTTAGATGTAGAGGTTGCATCATAGATGTGCTGCTTAGACTTGGGCAATTTACAGAGAATCTCTGTGTGTGAACAGTTGTGGACTGTAATTATCTCTGTTTCTTGAAAAAGAAGCTCCTTTGATTGGTGGCGACTGGGATACTTGTCTGTAAATTTAAGAATCCATGTTTTGCACATAGTAAGAAATTATATTTGTCTAGGGATGTGACAGCCTTGGAGTTTTCTCTAACATCTATGACCTTTCCAGCTATATGTATTTGGCTAGGCTTACAGTACCACATATGAGTTTCCTCTCATTGAGTGGGCTTTAAGTCCAATTAGGTAGCTGTTGATTACCCCTAAGATAAAAATTCCACTACTGCACCAGTATGGTTTGCTGTGCTGGTCATTGATGTGGTTTTTATGCTGAATTTTTTTTTTTTTTGGTCTTTCTGAGACAGGGTCTCCCTGTAGCCCCAGCTGTCCTGGAACTCACTATGTAGACCAGGCTCACAGAGATCCGTCTGCCTCTGCCTCCCGAGTGCTGGGACTAAAGGCATGTGCCACCACGCCTGGCTTTGTGCTGAAATTTTTAAAACTTTTTATTTTATGTGTATGAAGGTATTGCCTGCATATATATGTGTACTGTGTTGTGCAGTGCTTACAGAGATCAGAAGAGTGTGTCAGATCCCCTGAAACTGGAGTCAAAAAGGTTGTTAGCTCTATGTAGAGGTGCTGGGAACTGAGCCCAGGTCTTCTGCAAGAGCGGTTAGTGCTCTTAACTGCTGAGCCATCTCTTTAGCCCCCGGGGGGAAAAAACAAAATACCACTTTATTATTTTTTAATTTTATGTGTATAAGTGTATTGTCTACATGTATGTAAGAGCACCTGTGTTGTATAGTGCCTGCGGAGGTCAGCAGAGGGTGTCAGATCCCTTGAAACTGGAGTTATGGATGGTTGTTAGCTACCATGTGGGTGCTGGGAACCAAACCTAGATCCTCTTGAAGAGCAGCCAGTGCTCTTAACCATGGAGCCATCTCTCCAGCCCCCAAAATGCTGAAACTATATGTAGTCTATCATTGCATTTAAAAATATTTAAAAAAAAATTTTTTTTTGAGACAAGGGTCTCACTCTATGGGAAGTCACTGTAGACAAGATTGGCCTGGAGCACACAGAGATCTGCCTGCCTCTGCCTCCTGAGTGCTAGCTAAGAATAAAGGCTTATGACACCACACCTATCACAAATATTTTCTTTTTAACCAGTAACTTTAATTCCTGACATATTCTCTAATCTTTTCAGTTTAGTAGCAAGAGTGTTCTTCAAAAGTCTGGTCCCATGGGACTAGGGTAGTGATTCAATGGATAAAGTGCTTGCTATGCGAACAAGGCCCTGAGCTCCTAAAACGTTGGGTGTTGCCACACATCTGTAATCCCAGCAAATGGGAGGGGAATGAGGAAAGTGGAGGGTGTGGGATACAGGAGGATCCCCTGAGCTCCATGACTGAAATGACAGTGAGCTCCAGGTTCAACGAGAGATCCTGTCAAAAAATAAAGTGGAGTGAATAGAATCACCTAATGTTGACGTCTGACTGCCACGTAACCACTCTCCTCCCTCCCCTTACATATCTGGTCTCCTTGATACTAGTTTCCAGAATCATTATTTAGGACACGATGGTGCCAAATATTTTGTTACAGGACAAGTAAGTAGTCTTGCTGTTTTGTTGATTAGTATATGTTTACATGGCAAATATTATTTTAATATTTAAAAGTGTAAAGTTTGAAAATTGCTTAAAAGATTTTCAGATTATGTCATGCTAATGAGTGTGAATTGTTTTGTAGACGTCATATATAATTTTTGTTTTATTGTTAGTAAGAAGATTAGTATCATATGTGTATGTATCTATTTTGTGGTGTTGGGAATCAAATCCAGTGCCTTCTTCACAATAGGCAAGTGCTGTACCATTATGCCCTGATCAGGTAGTTTAGTTTTGAAGTCTATTAACTAACATTTTATGCTTATGTACATTTTTCCTAGGTTGCTTTTCAACATTTCCAAGAACTAGATGAACACATAAGCTATGTGGCAACCAAAGTCTGTCACCTAGGAGACCAGTTGGAGGGGGTAAACACACCCAGACAACGTGCAGTGGAGGCTCAGAAATTGATGAAATACTTTAATGAGTTTCTAGATGGAGAATTGAAATCTGATGTTTTTACAAATTCTGAAAAGGTAAGCACTGTCAGAGGATAAAAATGGTAATTAAATTTTAATTGCTTTGTCTTACATTTAAAAAAAAAATTAGTGAGCTGGGTGTGGTAATGCATGCCTTTAATCCCCAGTACTGGGAAGGCAGAAGTAGGTGAATCTCTGTGAGATTGAGGCCTGCCTGACATAAACATTGAGCTCCAGGCCAACTGGGGCTATAGGGAGACACGGTCTCAAAACAAAAAAGTAAAAGGTTTGTTTATTATTTATTTGTTTATTTATTTATTTGTGTACCCACATGTGTGTGTGGTGGGGGGGTGCGTGCACCTGTGCACAGTTGTCTTGTATTTTTATTTATGAAATCACACATGGTTTATAAGTGCTAAGGGTTACTGTATACTTTTTTTTATACCCTATTTGACTTTTAATGTTAATGGAATTTAATAGTTACTTTAAATAGTAACATACCATTGGGTGGTGGTAGGGTTATCTGACATGACCTAAATTGTTAATAAACTGAAATGTCTTTCTATAAAGGAATCGAGAGGTTCTAGTTTTTAGTACTTAAATAAAGATTCCTTATAAAGAATTAAAGTAGCTTAGGCCATGTTAATTGAAAACTCTGAGTTGATTATGTTAATTCTTTTCATAGTATGGTCACTAAATCTTGGTCTAAAGGTATATGGTACTGGTTGTTCTACATTCTTGAAAGATAGAAGGTACTTTAGCTTGCTTTCTTACCCAAGATACGTGGAAAAAACAGACATTCTTGTGACTCTTACATGTTTATTATAGTGTTATCCATTTATAGGTTAAAGTCTTCTTGAATTCCAGATTTACTCTATAATATCAGATTACAGAATATTAAAAGCTAAGTATTGCTGAATGTGTTGGTGGTATATTAGTTACTTTTCTGTTGCTGTGATGGAAACACTGACCAAACCAGCCTATAGAAGGAAGAGTTTATTTGAGCTTATGGTTCCAGGGGAATTGCAGTCTGTCATGGCAGGGAGGCATGGTGGCAGGAGGAGGCTGGAGCAGGAGGAGCAGAAGCTAAGCTCTCACATCTTTAAGCAGGCACATAAGCAAGACAGTTACTGGAGATCTGCCAAGGCTTTAGAACTCTCAAAGCCCACTTAGACCAGTGACATGCTTCCTCCAGGACAGCCACACCTTCTAAGACCTCCCAAAACAGCACTACCAACTGGGGACAAAAATGTCCAAATACTTAGAGCCTATTTGGGACATTTTCATTCAAACTAACACAGTTGGTTAAATTTTGTCAACTTGACACAAAACAGAGTCATTTTGGAAGAGGGAATCTTAACTGAGGGATTTCCTCCATCAGATTGGTCTGTGGGCTTTTCTGTGAGACGTTTTCTTGATTGCTGATTGATGAAAGAGGGCCCAGCCCACTGTGGGTGGTGACATCTCTAGGCAGGTGGGCCTGGGCAGTATAAGAAAGGTAGCTGAATTTGAACCTGGAACAAGCCAGTAAGCAGTGCTCCTCCATAGTCTCTGCTTCAGTTTCTCTGTGGTCTCTGCTTTTAGTTCCTGTTTCTAGGCACCAGTCTTGAGTGCCTGTCTTGACTTCTCTTGATGATGGACTGTAACCTGTAAGCTGAAGTATGTTTTGGTCAATGTTTAATCACAATAACAGAAAGTAAACTTTAAAAGCATTGAGGTTCACTTACTTTGGAATATATCTGTTGGATTATGCTTTATTACAAACACAGATCTCTTATACAGTATATGTTAATATCTTTGTTTGAATGAAGCTCAGAATAGTCCTGTAGAATCTTAGGACCCATCTATATTTAGATTGACATGTTTTTGTTTTTAACTTGATTTATACTTATTTGTATGTTTATTCTTTAAGCTTTTTAATTATCTTCAACGAATTAGATAGTTTCATAGTTCCTGTTGTTGATCTCTTAAGTCATATGTAATTTTGGAGGAGCAGTACAAACTTACCTAAAATATTTGTTAGCATCTCTTCTGCACTCTGGTTTGCGTCCTTTAATCTCCTGTGTTCTGCATACTTTATTCTGCCTTTTTCAGGTACTTTGTTTTGTTCTTGCCACTTGGTTACTGAGTCAACATTTCTGGCCTGGTACTATAATGGCCAACCACATAAGAATTCATACGTGATATTAGATTGGCAGTTACCAGATAAGCTTCCAGCTATCTCAATTTCTGGATTTTGTGCTAGCTCCCTTCTGTCCCAATGCAAAGAAAAGGAATAAGATGTAGGAGGACTCTCTAGGAGGAATTTGAATTAGATAAAATGCCAGACACATCCTAGTCCTTTTTCTTTGGGTCCCCTAGTAATTTTTTAAGCCTTTTACTTATTTTTGTGACATGTATTAAACAATGTTTGCAACCTTTTAGAAATCTTGCTCTCTTTGCTTAATTTTTTTAATGGTTTCTTCTGTCCTTATGTGTTTGTTTGTTTCTTACTTTCTTTTTTGTTTTTGAGACAGTCTCACTATGTAGCCCTGGTTTGCCTGGAGTTCACTATGTTTAGTCCTGATTGGCCTGGAACTCACTATGTAGACTAGGCTGGCCTTGAACTCATAGATCCTCCTGCCTCTACTGGGATTAAAGGTGTGTGCCACCACACCCAGCTTTCTTCTTTGTCTTCTTTTTTAAAATTTTTTTAAAATTTAAGGCAGGCTCTCATGTAGCCCAGGCTGGCCTAGCCAAGATGATCTGAATTCTATGTAGCCAAAGATGACCTGAATTTCTGATCTTCCTGCCTACAGCACATTGGTTTATTATGGGTACTGAGGATCAAACTTGGGTTTTATGCATGCTAGACAAACACTGCTGACTGAGCTACATCTTTTTCTTAGAATATTAGCTTATTGATTCTTGTACAGATAAGGCTTGATGACTGTTTAAAACTTTAAAACAAAAAATGCAAGCAGTTTTATTAGTTTGTGGTTTGGTATTTCTTGTGTTTGTTGCTGTATATTTTAAGTGATACATGTACTTTCAACAGTTTTTACCAAATAATTAGCTCAGAGGATTCAGTTAAAAACAAGCTTTTAATTAATTATTAATTTTTATTGTTATACTATTTACTACATTAAATAAAGTTTGCAAACAGCATCTCTAAAAGGGATAAGAACAAACTTCCTGATGGAAACAGCTGGCTATGTGTCAGTTCTATGTTCCAAAATGGGTAGTGGTAGAGAAAAAAATGATGGGCTTTGCTAGTAGGACTAAATGGCATGGAGGGGAGTGAAACTGCAGTGGTAACCTGCCTTACACGGATCAGTGTAAAGGGAGTGTGTGGCAGCAGTCACCTGCTGAGAGCACAGGAGAGGAGCAGGAAGACTACTGCTCACTGTCAACAGCCCTGCTACTGTTCCTTGCCAGAGTTCACATGAGTACTTGGAAAAATCTGTACTAATGTTCTTACCCCTTCCTTCATGTTGGTATGACTCTTTTTTAGTGTAAGAGAATATGAATCATCTTAAACCAGATACTAAAACTGAATCAAAGTAAAACTACTAAATTGAAATTGAAAGAAAAAAGTGAACATTATATGACTTTCCTATAGTGTTTTATAAATAAGCACAAATGCCCACATTTAAAGAATTTTAGACACCTTGCCTGATGTTCTTAATTCAACTTAAAAATTATATGCTTCTGTATAATATTTCATTCAAAAGGCTTTATATTACACTTTATCATTGCTTGTTTTGATCGTTATGAATTTACATGGTTATAAAGTAACAAGCATTTTGTTACAATTTTATTCATTTAGCTCACAGTGAGCATATAACATATGCAGCAGTATGCTCTAAATCTTTTTCTGAAATCTTAATTATCCTGCTTGGCTTCATAAACTTAGAAGAAATTTACACTTTGCTTTTGACAAAGATTTTATTTCTTCAGAGTAAAGTTGAACTGCAGATTTCATTGGAGAAGAATTTTGGTATCAAAAAGATCACAAAATTTAAGTACCAGAAAAATAATTGCTTGGGTTTTGACTTATGGTGATATCACAGATGTATTCATGTTGTCAACAAGGTTTTATTTATTGTAGTTTTTAAAGAAAATTATTTAGGGTAAGGGCTATGTCCGTATATAGTGCGATATTACTATTTTCAACTATGCTATTAATTTTTGAAATGTGAGTTCTTTTTAATTGTTGCTTTTATTTATTTTTAATAGATAAAGGAGGCAGCAGACATCATTCAGAAGTTGCACCTAATTGCCCAGGAGTTACCTTTTGATAGGCAAGTTTATTATATCTCAAAAGCTTATATATAAATATGATAAAATTTATTTTCTTTGCTCATTAAGATAAGAGTTATTGAGTTCTTCCTTTGTATGAGGCATAATATAATTTAATGATATTCTTTCTTCGTGACTTTGAAAGAAAATTGATAAAAGGAGATTCTTTTTTTTAACTGACAAGTGAAATTTTGAATTTTCTTATTTTGGACTTTGAGAACCAAGGTGGGAAAGGCAAGACAGAGCTTAAACATTGGACTACTAGACTGCTCTTTTCTATTTCTAGACTAGGGTTAAGTTTGTTGGGGAGGGGTCTGGTCACCTTTGAAAAGCTTATGAAAGCTGTACAGTTTCTTTAAAAGATTATAAAGTGTACAGATTGTTGTGTATAATTTTCATGGAATGTTAGGCTATCCATGGAACCCATCCTAGAGAATTTAAGAATCCCTGTTTCAGTGGAAGGTGTGGGGCCATTGCTAGTTAGATTCCGCCCTAAGATAAACTATCCATTAAGAAGGAAGTATTTTCCATGATTTCTTCTAGTCATGGAATGAGTGCCAGACTCTTTAATAAAATCTTGGTAGAAGTAGTTCCTCCAGGTGAATATCTGAAAAGAATATGAATTTCCTTTCTGCATTAAGAGATAATATATGTTGTTCTTCTGTTGATACTTGAAGATCTTCAGGTACAGATGGAGTGTAGACATACATTGCACGTTAAGCTTGGCCATTATTTGCCAAGTACACAGTTAATCTGCTTCCAAGATACTTATTTTACTCTCAACCCTGTGCCATCATAAAAGATTAGAAGTAATAATTTTTCAAGTCATCCAAAGTACATTCCTTATCTCAGTTCAGAGTTGAGCTATTTACTTAAATAAGTAACATGTCTAGATCAAAATTAGGCACATGTTAATAGTTGGCTACATCTTTCATACCCTCCTTCCATTCTGTTCTCCTTCTCCAGACCATATATGCATATGTCATCTCCATTCCTCAAGTTCTTACCTCACTTTTTTTGGTGTGTGTGTGTGTGTGTGTGTGTGTGTGTGTGTGTGTGCATGGCTATGCTTGAGATTGAACCCAGAGAGATTGAACCCAGAATCTCACACATGCTAAGGAAGCCTTTTGCAACTGAACTATAAACATAGCCTCTTGTACCAAGCTTTGGCATTGAATATATATCCTAATTAGACCTAATTTTTTCACATAGATCGATATAGACTTATCTGTTATCTACTTTGACTTTATCAATTTTGCGATGCCGTATAAATGTGTATTTCCTTCACCTTTAGCATCTTTTTTCTAGCCACTCTTCCTCTCTTTTAAAATGATCAGTGATATAAGATGTCTGTATCAGTTTTCCTTGTATATTTTCCTTTGATGTTTGATGTTTGAAAAGATTTTAGTGTATATTATTTTCGTTGTTCAGTTTGTAAAAGTGGAATGATTGCTTTCCTAAATGCATTGGTGAATTTTTTTTATGGCCTCTTATTTTTCTAGTTTCAGACTAATTCATTTGTGGTTTTTAATCACTTGTCATTACTGCATCATCATATTTGAGCATTGTTTTTCTTTTAAATAATTTAAAACTTTATTTTTAAAATTTCAGTGGTTGCAAATATTGAGATGATTACTCATGGTAGCCAAATAAGTAAGGATAATAACCTAGCTTTGGGATCTCTGGGTTGTTAGTGCCTCAGCTGGAACTCTGCCTTTAGCAAAGGAATTAATTATTCCATGTAAACCCTAAGTGAGAACTAGTTATCTCATTTGAACTTCTTGGGTTCAGTTTGGTCACCTGGCATGCTTCCCATCAGTATTCTCTTAAGACCACGACTTTGTCTTCTTTTTTTATATGGTCTTTTAATTTTATGGCAGTTTCATATTTATGAAAAAGTTGCAAAAAATGACTCAGAGGGTTCCCCTATACTTCTGAGCAGATTCTCCTTTTGTATTATCTTACATTACCATGCTTATTTGCCACAACTAATGAACTTTGCCATTGGTTTTCTACTTTTTAGGTTTTCAGAAGTAAAATCCAAGATTGCAAGTAAGTGGAGTCTCTTTATTGAGAACTTTTTTTAAGTAAGAAAAAAACTACTTGTGTAAAAGAAAAAAACAAATGGCAAAAGGTGAGAAAATGGGGACAGTGCCATCATCCCATGCCATCCTGGAGTTTGAGTCCTCATCCCCGAAGACAACCATTACCAGTGTCTTAGGTATTTTTTCAGAGTACAAATAGAAGATACAAATCTTATGTGTGTTTATACATGTCTTCATGTATTTTTAAGTAACTGGGAGCAAGTAGCTTTTTTAAAGCTTAACTATGTATTTGAGAGATTATAGTCATTTACATATCTCTGAATAAGGGTCTTTTGTAATGCAACGGCAATATGAGCATTTCTGGCTTCTTATTAGTTTGGTTTGTCTCAATCTTTGAAATATGCTTTAAACTATATCTGTGTTTCTGGAAAAATCACCATATTTGCAGGCTTCATCACTGGTCGTAGGCCATTTCCTAGAAAGTCAAATAACCACCTATATTTTCAAAAGTGTTAGAATAAGGATAATATAGTTGGATTTTCTAGGAATATTTTTGTCTTTTTAAAAAATTTTTTTTTATTGATTTTTGAGAAATCTATGCAGTGTAGTTTAATCATATTCAAACTGTCTCTCCCATCTCCTTTCAGGTCTACTACCATCTTCAATGCCACCTCTCCTACACTTCATGTCCTTTATTTTTTTTAAGGCCTATCAAGTTTGATTTGTGTTCCTCAAAAACTCTTGGGTATGGGTCCATCCCTGGAGTGTGGTTAGCCTACCTGGTGTCACACTCTTAAAGGAATATTTTTTTTCATTGTAAATTAGGTAGTCATTAAGAGCCATAGTAGTCTTAAGAATTCAGTGGTAAATCAAGTATCACATTCTATCTTAGAATAAGACTTGGTGTTTATTCCACCATCATTCACAGTAGAGGTAGCTGAGCTCTACTAAAGTTTCATGGTTTTTATGCTTTCCAGAGCTATGGGTTTGAGATTGAAATTTTTTTTTTTAATCCTTTGCTATTAGAACTGACCTCTAGAGGGTTTTCTTTCTCCTTCTTTTACTCTCTTTTAAATATGTAGTCATCTTCTGGTTTAATCATTGTAAATGGCTGTCATACTCTGAGGAACTAAGCTGTTTAACCAGTTTCTGAGGGCTTTCTTTTAAAAGTGTGTCTTGAAAATAAAGATTTATATACTTCAGTGTAAGAGCTAGAGCCACTGTCTATAATTTCACAATGTTTTTATAATTCTTCCAAAAGAAGACAGATCCGTTACTACTACATTTGTAAATAATTTAGATATTTGATATAACTTGGAATACTTAGAGTACCTCAGTAGTTTGATGACTTTCCACTTTTAGGTAAATACCATGATTTAGAATGCCAGCTTATTCAGGAGTTTACCAGTGCTCAGAGAAGAGGTGAGATCTCCAGGATGAGGGAAGTAGCAGCAGTTCTACTTCATTTTAAGGTAAATGTTAAAACTGTAAAGGAAGATCAATCTGCAAGATTCTAGAGGTTTTATATTCTATGTATTACAGTCTCTGATTTTCCTGTTACATAACTATGTGGCAGAATAACTATGATATTAAATGTTAAATACTTAGTACTTATGGCAATATTAATATTACATCAAGAAATTTTAAATAGTTTGATAAAGAAAATCATACCGCCAACCTTCTTGTTTTTTAATGTCTTTTTTAGTCACACATGTTAGTAATTAAATAAAAAGCAAGAAAACCTGGCTGTAAAGATCTGGCGGAAGGAAGGAACCAAATAGTAGATGGTTTGTGTCTAGTAATAAAAATTCAGGAGATCTTAGGGTGGAGAATAAAAAGAAATATATTATAGCTTTGTCTTCTTGGAGTCTGAATTGGAGAGAAGACCTCATTGAAAATTCCCATTAGTTTCGTTGTAGAATGTAGAAAAAGATACTCATGTTAAATTATTGATTCTCTACTTACTTGATTCTAGTAGCTTAATCTTTCACGGGTTCATGAAATGTGATTTTATTACATATAACACTTTTGTTGAGATTATTATTATAATGGAACCAGAACAATGATAACAAGGTTTCTTCTTTACAGGGCTATTCCCATTGTGTTGATGTTTATATAAAGCAGTGCCAGGAGGTAACTTGACAGTATACTTTATTGAATTTTATTTATGCTAATTATATTTTAAAGCCATTGAAAAAAACTTATTCACAATGTAAAATTCCTTTGCTGTTTAGGGTGCCTACTTGAGAAATGATATATTTGAAGACGCAGCAATACTCTGTCAGAGAGTGAACAAGCAAGTTGGAGATATCTTTAGTAATCCAGAAACAGTACTGGCTAAACTTATTCAGAATGTGTTTGAAAGCAAACTACAGGTAATTTTAAAAAGTAATGAATTATTTTTTTTACAAGATTTTTTTAATTGATTTTTTTAGATTTGCATACAAGTTATGGATGTCATCATGGCATCTTCATATATTATGTGTCATTTTGCTTTTTTCTCCCTTGTTCTTCTGCAGTACCCTCCCCTGTGCCCCTCCCCCATAGGTGATTCCCTTTATTTCCTCATATAAACCCCTCCTCCTACTTATCACATGTGCTCAGTTACCCTCTCTATTTCTCACCTCCCTTAAAATCGCTTCCTCCTCTAATCCTCTTTCTAGTTTCACATATACACTTTTAACTCTAGGGGTTGTGGATAAAAGAAAATGTGGTGTTTTAAGTCTGACTTATTTACTTACGTAATGGTCTTGAGAAGTTATAAAATTTAATATTTACTTAACAGAATGTTGATTTTCTCTTTTAGAGTTTTGTGAAAGATCAGTTAGAAGAATGTAGGAAATCAGATGCAGAACAATATCTGAAAAATCTCTATGACCTATATACAAGGTATATTTTTATTATATTTATTTTATTTTTTATTTTGGGACAGGACCTCACTGTGTATCCCTGGCTGGCCTGAAACTCACTATATATAAGCCAGGCTGCTTGAACTCATAGAGGCCTGTCTGTCTCTGCCTACCAAGTTCTGGGATTAAAGGCATGCCACCACCATGGCTAAGATATATTTTTAATTATCAAAAAATAATGATGCATTTTAAATTTGCTTTTTTAAAAAGTTGAACATGTGGTGTATTCAGGGACTTTGAATAACAGTTTGTTAGATAGCAAGATCCCCTTGGCACTAAATGCTTCCCTGTGTACACTGTAGAAGAACAGTATTCCTACTGTTAGCTTGAGGAACAGAATCTTATGCTTTATCTTAAATGTACCAAGGAACAAATGACTTTGCTTAAACTGACTCAAGGATTTTGTTTCTGATGTTACTAGATTTTCCCCTTTAAAATTAGTACAATTAGCTGGGCCTTTAATCCTAGCATTTGGAAGGCAGAGGCAGATGGAGCTCTGAGTTCAAGGCCAGCTTGGTTGCCATAGTGAATCCAGGCCAACTGTTACTACAGGGAGATCCTGTCTCAAAAAGACCACAAAAAGAGAAAAGAAAAAAAAAAAAGAATTAGTACAATTATTCTTATCTGCAGTTAAAACTTTAGGAGTTGCTAGAATTGATGTGTTCTTAACAAATGACCATTTCAGCCTTAGGTTGGTTGTGAGTTTGTCTTGTTTTTTGTTTGTTTGCTTGTTTGTTTTCCATAAATGTCATTACTCTTAGAGATATTATCTCATAAATGCCACACAGAATGTGTCCCCCCCCACCCCACCCCCAAACTCTATTGCTATACTTCAGTCCTTTCATTTTGGGAGAAGGTTCATCTCTAACAGGAGCAACAATGTGAAATAAAAACTTAGAGGACAGCCCGTATGATCAGTGACAAAAGAGATGGACAGATGGTAGGCTTCTTATTTGGGTACCTGTTAATAAAAGGCATTTGAGCATACTTTAGACCCTTCTCCCACTAATTATAATTTTAGACTGATCATTGCACAGTTTTTCCTCCTAGGTCATCCCGACTACTTTATGACGGTTCTCAAAACCATAGTATCATTTGTAATATTCTATTCTACTTTATATTTAACTTTGTAAGATGCTCTCTGCATCCTAAGTATTACCCAACATTTAAGGAATATAAGGAATAATAGTTTGAGGCTGGAGAGATGGCTCAGCAGTTTCTCTTTCACAGGACCCAGGTTGGGTTTTCAGGTGGTGCACTTACATACATGCAGGCAAAACACTTATACACAAAAAAATGAAAATAGTTTTTTTGTTACTCTATTTTGAGACAGGGTCTCCCTGTAGTCCTAGCTGGCTTGGAAATCACTATGTCAACCACATTGGCCTCAGTTTCATAGACATCTGCCTGTCTCTTCTTCCTGAGTGCTGGGATTAAAGCCACCATGCCCAGCTAAAAATAAAATCTTTAAAAAAAAAGAAATGATGGTTTAATATAAATGGTTATGGTCACATTGTAAATATGTATGTTCCTTATTATTGTTGCTATATCTAAAATACACATTAATCTTTTTCTCTTTCTCTTCCATGGAAAGAACCACCAATCTTTCCAGCAAATTGATGGAGTTTAACTTAGGTACTGATAAACAGACTTTCTTGTCTAAGCTTATCAAATCCATTTTCATTTCCTATTTGGAGAACTATATTGAGGTGGAAATTGGATATTTGAAAAGTAGAAGTGCTATGATCTTGCAGCGCTACTATGATTCCAAAAACCATCAAAAGAGATCCATTGGCACAGGAGGGTAAGTTTTTAAAAAGTATAAAGTTAAAAACAACCATGATTAAATTTGGACAAACTTACCAAATGCTAGCTGTTATTAAGATTTTTCGATGAAGAACTTTTCACACTATATTATTGATTAAATCTGCTCTTGAACCACATGTTGAAATGACCTAACATAGTATAATTAAAATGTAAATATTTTTCAATTAAAAATTAATATAAAACATAATGATAGTTATATAAAGAATTCTGTGGTTTGTTCTTTTCAGAGTAAATTATTCTATGTTATTAAGAATCATATTATGGTTTTACTGTTGAAGATACGAAAAAAAGAACAAGCTGGGTGTGGTGGGACACGCCTTTGATCCCAGCACTTAGAAGGCAGAGGCATGCGGATCTTTGTGATTTCAAAGCCAGCCTAGTCTACATAGTGAGTTCCAGGCCAGCTAGGGCTACAGGGAGACCCTGTCTCAAAAACCAAAAAAACCAAAACAGAGAGCAAATAGTTTACAATTTAGGTGGCCCTGAATTGAGATTGCTTTTTTTTAAAATCATTTGTGCTTAAAACTATTACTAAACTGTTACTTTAAAGTCTGAAATTACTTAGATGTTAGAATAGTTCGTTGTAAAAATTGGTGACATTTACTTACTCCACATGTTCACAACCTAGAACCTAGTTGATTGTAGGAGGAGGAAGAATGACTTCTGTAGTGCTGTGCAGACTCCATAGTCCGCATAAACACCCAGTTCATTTTGTTTCCCAGTTTGTTGTGTATATTGAATGATGATTTGAGAGAAATTATAATAATGAATAAAAAGTAAGATCTGCAAGGCAGTAGGAAGAAAAGAAGCAAAAACCTTTGGCTGGTGACATGGTTCAGCTGGTAAAAGTGTTTGCCATGTAAGCCTAATGACCTACCTGAGTTCAATCCCCAGAACTCAACTACAGAAAAACTGGCTCTTACGCTGGGCATGGTGGCACACATCTTTAATCCCAGCCCTGGGGAGGTGGAGGCAAGCAGATCTCTGGGAGATTGAGGCCAGCCTGGTCCACATAGTGACTTCCAGGTAGGCTGGGACTAGGGAGATCCTGTCCAAAAAATAAAGACAAAGAAAAACAGACTCCTGAATGTTGTCCTATGACTTATACGTAGACAGATGGACATACACATGCATGCGCCATGGAACTCTACCCCCACTCCCCAGATAAAATTTTTAAAAGTTCCAGAACTGTTTACTTAGGCTGATTCCAGTTCATGCTAGATCAAAATCTTATATTTAAAAAAAGTGAAAACCTTAAGAATAATCATAAGATTTTTAAAAGATGAGGTCACAGTAGCCTGGGCTACATACTCTAGGAGCAAAAATAGCCTTATCTAAACATACCCCACATAAATGTTCTAGGTGATCCTTAGTCACTAGGGAAAGCTAAATTATGTTTATTTTAATAGGTCTATTTTTTAATATTGTAAAGAAATGTGCAACATATTTAAATGATTAAGAAAGAGTAAAAATCACTAAAATTTTGACGTTTTCTTTTTAAGCAAGGCTATTTATTTATAATATTAACTTATTTAGAATAGCTTACTTCCTGAGTCGAAATCTAAAGCTTGAAAAGAATTTTAAAGATCATAATTCTGGAGGCTGAGGAGATGACTCAGTAGGTAGGAGCACTTGCTGTGTTGTCATAAGGACCTAAGTTCAACTCCTCAGCACTCAATAAAAAGCCTGGTATGGCCACATGTATACTTATAACGTCGACACTGTAGAGTGCAGAAACCAGAGAATTCTTAAGACTCTTTGGCTGCCTCCCTGGCAGATTCAGTGAGAGACCCTTTCCCAAATGAATAAGGTGGAGAACGATAGAGCAGGACACCAAGCATCCTTGTCTGGCTCCTTTGTGTGCGTGTAGGTGCGTCATGCCCAGCCCCCAACACCAAAGATCATGACTCTAAATTTACTCTTTTTTTCAGATGAAAATCTTCACAAAAGTACTTTTTGTAATTAGAATTTCACTCTCTTGGTTACTGGTCCATATTTGGTTTTTCAGGGTTTTTTTGTTTGTTTTCATTGATATATATACTGAGGCTGAGAGTATTTGCAGTTGAAATCTAAATACAGTAAACGTTTTTCATTTGTCTTTATGATGTACTAGTATTCAGGATTTGAAGGAGAGAATTAGACAACGTACCAACTTACCACTGGGACCAAGTATTGATACACATGGGGAAACTTTTCTGTCCCAAGAAGTGGTGGTTAATCTTTTACAAGAAACTAAACAAGCCTTTGAAAGATGTCATAGGGTAAGAATTATTGTAAATTAATTTTTTTAGAGATGGTTATGTATTTTGTTTTACCTTGTTTATGAAAAGTTACAAATGTACTTCTTGGTTAGAACCAACTTTTTTTCTTTTTAAAAATAGTGTTTTTTAATTGACACAGTTTATACAAATTGTACATACTTATAGGTCCATGTGATGTTTTGATAGAAGTGTAGAGTGAGTAATATTCAAATCCGGATGGGCATATATGTCTCCTTGAACATTCATTTGTTTGTGATGAAAACATTCAAAAATCTATTCTAGCATATTAATATGTAGTGCATTGTTCATCTGTAGTCACCCTACTGATGCAATAGAACACCAAAATTACTTCTCTTCCTAATTTAACATCGCACTGTTGACCAACCTTTCCCATCATTCTCTCCTTTTCTCCGCTCCCCTCAGCCTCTAGTGAGATCACCTTCTTTAGATTCTACATATGAGTGAGATCATGCAGTATTCATTGGTCAGTGTCTGAGTTACCTCACTTAACATAATTCCTTCCAATTCCATCCACATTATTGGGGGAAAAAAACAGAATTTCATGGCTTTTGTGACAGTAGTATTGCTTTGTGTATATTAATTATTTTCTTTATCCATTGTTTTATGAACACTCAAATTGATTCTTTTCCCTGGCTGTTATGAATATTGCTGCAGATCTCTCTTCAACATGCAGATTTAACTTCCTTTGTTTATATACCCACTGTTAGGATTGCTGGATCATACGATTTTTAATGTTTTAAGAAACATCTATACTATTTCCATAATGCTTGTACTAACTGACATTCCTACCAACAGTGTGCAGATGTTCCCTTTCTCCTGTTCTCACCATCACGTGTTGCTCTTTGTCCTTTTGATATGCTCCTTCCTAATTGAAATGAAGCATATTTAATTGTGACTTTGTTTGGCATTTTGCAACTGATTAGTGATGCTGATCATATTTTCATTGTGTTGAATTCTTTTTATGGTCTCCATATTAACTTATTATTGGATACATAATTTACAAATATATTCTCATTCTATAGGTTTTCTCTTTACTTGACTATTTCCATTGCTGACCAGAAGCTTTGTAGTTTGATATAATTTTGTTTGGTTTTACTTTTTTTTCCTATGCTTTTGGGGTCACATTCAAGAAACCCTTGGTCATTCCAATGTCATAAAGTATCTTCACTGTTTTCTTCTTGTAGTTTCATAGTTTTAGGACTTAGATTTAAGTCTTTAATGTACTTTGAGTTAATTGGATTTAAATATTTACTCTATTTGGGGTTAATTTGTGTCTTTGAAGAGAGATAGGATTCTAGTTATAGTTTTCTAATATGATCATCTTCATACTCCATTGATTAAACAGGCTGTTTTTTCTCTATTGTGTATTCTTAACATTTTTAAAATTATTTATTTAATAACCATTTAATTAGAAGAAGCATTTCATTATAACAGCATTGACATATTCAATAACAAGTTCCAGAGCTGAAATGCATCTCTTTCAAAACTGAC